TATTATCGTATATGGTAGAAAATAACAAGGGTGCTACGCCTGGCGTGGGGTAATCCAACAACCGCGTTTAAAAACTTCAAGCCTTCAACCTTGTGCAATTTATTGACAAACCACGAGCCATAGGCCTTGCATGGCTACTTGTTTATATCACTTTGATTTTTAAACTTTCACGTGCAATAATGGTACATAAATTAAAAGGCTACCAAAACATAGTACTTAGCATGGATTTTTTTTTTTGTTCAAATAGAAATTAAAATGAGAGGAAATTATCTCATTTTAAAATTAGGGTATGCAATAAGCAGGGACGGATCCAGGCTGGGGGAAGTGGGGGCAGCTGGCCCCGGTGGAATCCTGGAAATTAATTAACTATTAGAAGATATTCAAAATTTTAATGATTTTTGTATTTTATTCTCACTAAAATATTAAAAAAGTAAGTAAAATTATTAGAAATAAATTTAAATTTTTTATTTAATTTTTGTTTTAGAACTCATTAATTGTAAAAGAAATACTTAAATATGAGTTTTTATAATATTAAAAGATATATGAATGTATGAAAAATTTTAATAAAAAATTAAGTAAAATAACGATTCACAATGTAAATATAAAATTATTGGTAGTTAAAATAATATATTTGTCATCATTGAATATAAATCTTAGATCCATCCTTGACAATAAATTTTAGTGAAAATTTACGTTAAATTTATAAATCATCTAATATAAATAATTACAGACAACAAATATTAAATATAATTTTGAAAACGAAATATTTAATTTTTATCGACTCAATCAACCTCGGTTAGCATTGGAAGTTCGTTTTTCTTCTTTATGAGTTCGTGTTGTTAATTAGGTCGAACAAGCAGCAAATTACTGGGCTTGCTGTTTTGGGTTTAATGTATGGGCTACATTATAGGAGAAGATTTTTAAGGCCATGAAACCCAACATCGGCCTTCACGGACCCAACCCACACGAAATCACTAATCTCTATCGAGAACCCATATTATCTTCTCATTTCCTAGTAAAATGAATCCATGGAAGAAAGGAAAACAAAAAACTTGTTGCCATCAGCCGCGTGCCAGTAGAGTATTAGACTTATAATTTCAATGATAAAATTAAAATTCCTATAATCTCAAGTTAAAAAAAAAAAAAAGCTTATTGTATTTGTTGGAGAAAAAAAGAATTTAATTGTCATGGATGATTTACGCCAAGTCACAGCGTCTTTGTTTGATCCCAGTGAAATCAATATTAGAGTTCAATCAGTGGTATATTTTACTATAGATCCACCTTGTCCAGGTTCACACTCACTGCTCCGTCCTCAGTCCTCACACTGATGCTAGTGGCCCGATCAGTGCCCTGAGGAATTCGATTCCACTGTCGGCCTCCAGGGGCTGAATGACACATTGATATGGAACGATTCCTCAATTGGACAGTTCAGACTATAACCTTTCCTCGTGGGTGGTTGCGAAAAAAGCTTCAGTAACACTACCAGGTGTGCCAAGGCTTGATGTTATGAATTCCCATGTATGTTTGAAAGAACAATAAAAGTTGAATGAGGATGAAAAATAAACAAACATCCTATGTGCAAAAATATTCTGTTTATACTGTGATCTTTTGGAGGCATTGCTGGTTTTTAACGCTCAGAATCGAGGTTGATGGGAATAATTGAAGCAGAAACCATGTTCATAGATTATACATACATGTAATTGCCCAATAACTCAAATTCCAACACTTGCCCTACAGTCTAATTGTTTGTATTTTTTTTTTTCTGTTGAATTGTCTTGCTGGTTCTGTACCCTTGGAACCGATCATACAGCTGACATCTGATACAGAATATGATCAGACTCAATTATTTCCATTATTATATGAATATTCAAGTGTTGACTAAACCCCGATGCCAAGTCTTAAGCTACAGTTATGTGTTACATCAAAGCCAAATTATTTTCTCTTTTCTTATTCTACATTATCCCTTCTACAGCTTGCCAATGAAAAAGAGAAGGGGATGGGAGATGGGGATGGCTTTGTTTGAACCCAAGTCTTTATAATTTTTTTAAGGTTTCTTTGCCACTAAATCAAGAGGCTGAAGGCATTTTCATGTAATTTAGACCAAACTGATAATTCAATTAACTTCTAGCTACCTGGGATACCCCCAGCTGTAATGACAGGAAACTGTTCGTTTGAATATTCGTACTATTTCCCTTGTCTATGGGGACTTTGTAATGTGATTTTTGGCCTATGACAGATAACCGACATTAAAATGCAGTAAACACTTTGGAGGTTGCTAAATGGGGTCGCCACTCACCAGAAAATATCAAAAGTATTTAAAGCCATGCATCCCTTGCACACCTCACTGATGATTCCATACAATTTTAAAATCATGTTTAGTTATTTTCAAGTCGCTATTTCGTTGTTTAATGCAATGTCTTTTCCGCATTGACTCTTGCCTTTCCAATGTGATTCGCTATCTTGTACCTCGCTTTCTTAATTTTCTGAATATAATATATATATGATCCGAGTTTTTTGAAATGACGGAATTTAACCTGAAAAGTGGAAATAACGCTATAACTAATGCCAATAATTCTTCATCAATTTATTTTCAATCAACGTGCAAGATCAAATTCTGCATGCTTTGCAATGGAGTTTTTAATTTTACTTAGGGATCCTTTGCAGCATGGCAGGGGATTCGCACTGCGCCACAGATGCATTTTATGCAGTGGAATCCTTTCCACCACGCTACTAAAGCATCCCAGTAGATATTCATGGACAATGATAAAGGGACAGTTTTTAAAGTCCGAAAAAAACTTCCTCTCTCCAAAGCACCAAAGAAATCCAGTACATCCTTTAAATTGTTCTCTTTTTTTTTTTCTTTTATCCAAGATTTTGCCTCAATCATGCATACAAAATTGGAAAAGTTATTCTATTTTTTGTGGAATGCCAAAACAAAGATTTTCTGCTTTAACCGTGATAATGAATTATCTAATAGCTACAAATTTTTATTTATTCTCTAATTATTGTGGGATCCAATGCTTTTTTGTTTCTCCAATCTTTCCTGAGATTTCCTTTTCCATTTCCCTCCCTCGTGCAAAAGCAGATCCACTCGGTGCACATTGAGTAGGATTTTGGACCACAGCTTGAGAATAGCGTCAAGAAAATGCTAATACAAATTGCTCCTTCGTTTAGGAAAGCTCAAATTAATTAAGCTTAAGATGACTTCAGCTTCAACTTGGTTTGACTTTCTAGCCGTATGTTTCTCTTCCAAGGAACAATAACAATGGCATCCCAGACAACAACAAACAATGAAACAAAAATTCTACCAACCAAAATAAGAAGAAAGAAATATTGTTGCATAGGCAAAAACCTTATCAAAATGAACAAAGCAATAGACCTTTAAACATATAATTGGTTAGCGAGGGAGGCAGAAACCAGCAAAAAAAAAAAAAAAAAACAAAGAAATTTGAGCTGAAAACACCCAAAAACCTCATTGATGAGGAGATGGCATCAGGCATGCGGTTCACCAAAGGACAAAGCTAGGATGACAATAGGGCAATACAGGAGCAGAGCAACAGTTGCACTATCTCATGCATAGGCTTCTGCTCCTTTGCAAAGGATCCATCAAGGCTTTGTCCTAAAGGGGTCAGATCCTTCTTCTCTAAAGCCTGTAAGGGCTTTTACTACCATCACTGCATGGGGTGTATGTGGGGCCCATTGCTGACACTTTTGTGGGCCAAGTGAGGTCCATTCAATGCGTCAGCCCAGTTGTCACATGTACTTGGATGGCCTTGCTCTTGCCCCTTGAATTACATAAAACTTCATTTGTATCTTGTTCCTCCAGAGCAGGAAATTTTGGTGAAGAGATGGATCCCACCTCTACCTTCTGCATACAGCCTGGATTTGGGACACCTCTTGACCATATTTTTATAGGAAATCCCAGCCACAAAATCTGTGGCCGGTGACCTCCAATTTCACCCATTGAGAGTGCCATGAAGAAAATTATTTTCACTAACGATTAAATTCAACACAAAAAATTATAAGCATAAATGGGGAAAAAAAAAAAGAAAACATATTTTATAACACATTTTGCAAAACTGTAATCATTCGACAACTAGGAAATTAAAAAAAAAAATCTATGGAAAAAATTCTTTTTTTTTTTTCTCTCTGACATCTCTCGATAAAGGAAGGATAGGAAGATGTTAAGAGGTTTGTGGGTTATCGTGTGGTTCCCGTACAAGCTCCAAGGTGATGTGATGCGTGATGGACACTCGCCCCGACCTTTATCAAATCAAATATTTGCCTCACTGATAATACAACTGGTCCGCTCTGATTGATTTCACTCCTCCCAAACCCACTCTGATGCTTTCCCACCAACTCAAAATCTTGCCCTTTGGCAGCTGGCACCAAATCCCACGTGGCAACACCTGAGTTATCCGGCAAATTTGATTACATTGAATTTACCATAATGACCCCATATTGGCTACTTATTACAGAACCATGTCCAAATGTACAATAATAACCCTCGTCCAACCTTTTTGAAACAGCCACTCACCAGTCGCCACATACGACGATCCAAAGTCCGTTATGTTTGTCGGACACAGGGAATAACATCATTTGTTTACACAAATTAATATAACACCAGTTGCCGATCAATTTGCTTTTTTTTGTTCTTTAACGATCAGCCAAAGTAATAATACATAAAACATTTTTTTTACATATTTGAAATCTTCGGGACAGGACAAAAAAACATAAAGGAAAGGGTATTTTGGTCTGTATAAAATGACTGGTCCAACTATCTTTACGACGCATGTCTTCATGCAGTCATGATAGAGTTATGCGTCGTGAATAATTGATATATTATGAGACCCAACTTAGGCGGTTTGACCAAAAAGCTCGTTGAAGAACAAAAACTTTTATATATATATATATATATACATATATATTATACATATTATTTATAGCTTTTAAAAATAATAATTATAATAATATTTAACAAAATTCCCTCTCCCCTTTGTATCATCCGATCTCGGCCATCCATCATATAATTAATGACATTTAAAGGGTCCCAAGTTTTTTAAGAGAGAGAGATGATGGAGTGAGGAGGGGTCTTATCTACGGTTGCTGTACATCCGGAGCAGTGGATCGTAACCGCTTGGATGGCGGCTCTTGGCTACTGGAGCTGAGATTCTCGGAGCGCGTATCACAGCTGCCGCAAGCAGCCGCGTCGAGCACGCCGACTGGACTAGGAGGAGCGGGTGGCTGCTCAAATCCTACCTCATTCAGACACGTGTCGATCAGATATTCGTCCATTAGTTGGTGACAGCTTCTCACCATTTCCTATCCCCGAAGGAAGAAACGGAAAAAATGAAAAAGAAAAAGAAAAATTAAAATCACCACGAGACTTTATAAAATTTTACAGACCTCGAAATTCACGCAAAAAATAATTAACTAATATTTGCCAAACGATCATTACAGAAACATAAATCATACTTAAATCCACTTAAAAACATGCTTACTTTGTTTACACTATCGTGAAAAAATGCGTCACCGGCCGGAAAGTCAAAACTCTTTCCGGCGGCACAAAGCACAGCGGCTGCCGCCATGGTCGACGGCGCGAATCGCAGGAAATCAATAACTGTTAACAACCCAGAAAAAACCAACAAAAAAAGAAAACATTAACAAATTAAATTAAAGGCTTTTCATATTCATTTCATATATCACTACTTCAATAGTATTAATTATACCACGGGTGGTGCTGAGGATGAGATCCGAAGAAGCAGAGATAACCGACGAAAATGAATCCGGTAATAGGGTCGAGCAAGAAGAGAGCTCGCGAATGAAGGGATGGAGATAATCAAAGGGAGTTACGGAACGCAGTCTCCAATTGAGAATGGCCATGACTCTAAGCTCCATCCTTTGGATGGTTTTAGGTTCGAAAACGAATCTGGGCTCGAATAGTTGAAGTTCCAGTAACAATGGCACTTGGGGTTCCACCATTTTCGCTGCCAAAGATAAACACGCCACCGATAGAAGCTGGAACGGCCACCCATTTGCTTGCTACAATCCAAAATTATTTTTGTTTTAAAGAAAGTTGCAACTTTATCATTTCTAAATACTGAAAAAGGGAGTCTTTACCGGAAGACAATGAGAAGAGAGGAAACGGTCGAAGTAATTGACGGAGAGAAACGCTGTTACTGGGCTGAAATTATAGGATGCATGTACCTGCATTGCCTCATCACATAAAAAATCAATAAAATTGAATATGAATATATATTTATATTTTGTGTATAAATGAAAAAAAAAAAAGGGTACTTTTAGGATCCAATTGATGGAGTCTTGGCGGGATATGACGTCGATTGAACGGTCCTGGCAACGGCGGAAGTAATCGGATGAAGGCATATGATGGGGTTCCAAATCGATGAGTTTTGAAATGGTATTCTCATCGGATGGTGCATAATTGTACAGACATTGAAATTGATTGCGGGAAGACGTGTCAGGTTCCCAAGTTACCACTTCATCAGTCTCCTCAACGCAAGACAAACTAGTGCAGCTGCCACCAGCAACAGAGCCAGAAGTGTTGTCCGAGGGAGTTGAGTGAGAGTAAGAGATGGACATTTGGACGATAATGATAAAAAAAAACAGCTACGATTGCGGCGGAGGAAACGGCGTTCAATGGACGGATAGCATCTTGGCCGGTGGCGGAGGCATTGATGACGGCGGCGATGGAGTGGAGGAGTAAGTCGATAATGGTGGTGGTATTTTGTTTGGTCATTTGGCTTGTGGTTTTTATGGTGGAGTTTTTGCTTCTTGATTTTACATCTTTCACAAGTTCTCTGTCCTAATTTTTTTTAGTTTTTATTAAAATTATTTTCTTGCTTTTATTATTATTATTTTTTTATGAAATGTTTCCACTCTCCTCTATTGGTGGGCTATTGTGAGTGAGAGTGTCTTCAAATATGAGCATATGTCAAAGTGTAGAGACAAAGACAGAAAAAAGAAAGAGATTGCAGGATGCAGCTGTAATCCTGTACTCCATTGTCTCTCTTCAAAGGAAAAAAAAAAAAAAACACTCAATTTCTCAGGGTTATATGGTTTATTTTTATAAATAAAGATGGATTAAAAATAGAAATTAAACTTGAGAATTCGTATAAATTTATCATATAAAATATTATATTTATATAAAAATAATATGTCATAATTTATGTTTGTATAAAAATATAAAAATATAATTTTATGATTTTATTAAATTTATTTATAATTTTTAAAAATTTTAAATTATATTATTTTTATATTTTTTATTATGTTTTAAATTATCAAATTTAATAAAATTTTATAAATGATAAGGATTTTTTAACGGAATAGAGATGGTTGAGTAATGTAATATTATAGTAATTAATAATAAATAATCTCAAATTGCTTAATTTACTCATATACTTTTCTAATGTTTTGACTTAAATAAAATTTACTAACAAATATATTAAAATTAAAAAAAATTATTACATTCATTGATAATATAAATTTTAAATTTTACTATTAAAATTAATAAAATAACACATATATTTTAAGATAAAATAAAAATTATTGAAAAAATAAAATATAAAACAACTTATTAATTTAAAAAAATTATTGTTTATATAAAAAAAAACAAGCTCTAAAGTTTAATTGCACTTTTAAAAGGCTGCATCTATTCAATGAATAATTGAGTATGGCTTTGTAATTTGATTGAGGCAATAATTAAGGTGGGCTAAGTGATATATATCAAATCATTTAGGATCTCCTTTGAAATTCTTGATGCAAGAGAAGATATCATTTGCCAAGGATGTGGAAAATGTGTTTCTTTATTAGTACCGAACTTTTTCATTTATTTTTGGTTGAAAATTGCAATGCATTCAAAATATATTGTTTGGATGTTTTAGATTTATCGGAATAAAAATTTTGAAAGTTTTTTAATTTAGATTGTACGGAAAATATTCAAATTTATAAGATAAGAGAAATATAGCTTTGATTTCATTTTATTTCTTTAGTCACGTTATTTTGTTAACAATTAAAAAAAAAATTCCACGTGAAATGCTAAGGTAATGGTGACGTAAGGTTCTTTAATAAAAGAAAAATTAAGTTTAATTACTTTAAAATCCTTATAATTATAGGAAATTTTTAACCAGTGTCTAGTGACATTAATTAAGGCAATATTTAAGAAAAATAAATTTATAATTAGTTCATTGTTTAATTGTTTTCTTTTAAAATTTGATGAAAATAATGTATTATATATATAAATATTTTATAAAGTAATATTTTAACTAAACTTAAACCATATATATATATATATATTTATTTATTATCTCTATTTTATCCTTTTAATCCATTGTCTCTTACCAAAGAAGAAGAGAGTACAAGCCTATTATGTAGAGGTGAGTAAAAGTAAGTTTAAACTTATTAGATAGATTAAAATCGAGTGAATTTAATTGAATTAATTTGATTTATTGGATTTTTAGTTATAATTAATTTTTTAAATTGATTAAATTGATTAATTCGATCAATTTTTAGTTTTTAAATTTGATAATCGAACTAATCAAATTAATCGATTTTTTAATAAGTAAAAATAAAAAAAATAAGATAAATATTTTTATTTATTTTTTTCTTGTAAAATATTATTGAAATTATTAGTTTGAATAATACTTGAGTTTAAATTTTATTAAATTAAATTTATTATTAAATAATTATTCATAATAAAAATAAAAAAATTAAATATTTAATCGAATCGATTTTAATCAATTTAATTATAATTTATTATTTAATAATATTTAATTAATTTAATTATTTATTAAATAAAATTTAATTAAATTAATTATTAATTTTTTCATATTAAATCTATCAAACCTCTACTACTATGCATCAATTCATATAAATATCATCTTACGTAATCAAAATTGAGATAAGCTTGAGTGGCCCATTTATTATATCTGGGCTCGTACGCCACTTGCTTATTAATGCATGAGCTCATCAATACTCAATAATGTAATAATTTTTTAATTTTTTAAAATTTGGTCAGTAATGTTTTTAAATTTTATTTGGATTTAATTTTGTTTTTAAATAATTTTAAAAATACATTTTTATATGTTTCCGATATATTTAAAATTTTATTTTAAAAATATTTTAATAAAAATTATTGACCAATAAATAAAAAAGGAGAATTTATTTTTTACTACAATGAATGTAATCGTAGCAATAAATAGTTGCAGTCAAATCTTGTGGATGTATCGAATGATATAAACGTTTTTATTGCTAGACATAAGTATAATATTCAATTGAGTTTTGAACATTATTGCAACTGATATTTAAGGGATGTTTTAAAAGCTTAACTTCAATATAAAAACTAAAAGGTAAAAATTCAAAGAAACAAAAGAAAATAATGGTATGAACATCAGAAATGTACCATCAGACCTTACCTATAAACTGGGTTCTAAAAAGATTTGATAGCTTCCTCCTTTGGAGTCATTAACCATTTTTTAACCTACCAGATACCAAAGTTTCAAAAAAAAAATAAATTAAAGTTTAATTCAAATGTTTCATATAGTAATTCTTCAGATATTACAATAGACAGAAATGAAATTTAAAATTTAATATTTATAATAAAATTTTCTATATTGGGTTATAATTTTTTTTTACAATTCGTGTATTTGTATTATGTAAAATATTAAAATTCATATATTTATGATATATTTTATATAAAAATTATATATTATAATTCGTGTCTATATAAAAATATAAAATATATATTTTTAATTTTATTAAATTTAAATATAATAATTATTAAAACTTTAAATTATATCATTTTCATATTTTATATTTTTATCATATCCATGTTATTACTAAATTTAATCTTTTTTGTACTAAAAAAATTTATAATTAGAAGCAATTCCTTAAATTTTCTTACATTTTATCTTGACCAAAACAACTAAAAAAGGGAGAAAGATTGTGTGGTTGAAGGACAGGGATGAGGCCCTTAAAACTTTAGGATTGAAGCACTGCAATAAAGGGGATGAGGATGGAGTGTCAAGTTTGATTAGACCTTGATTAAATCAAAGCTCACATGCTTACTGAGTAGTTTCTTACTTTAATTCGTGGGCTTCAGCTCATAGTCGTAGAACATAGTTCGATCCCTTTGCTCTTGGCATTGGGTTGCAGCCATGGGGTCCCAAAGGATTCTGTCGAGAAAAGAGTGCCTTCTCAAACTAGGTATTAGCGATGGCTGTCGCCTGTCTTATATGGTCAAAAAAGATGAGCACACGAGTTAAAAGAGATCTATAAAAAGGACTTAGAAGAAATTTTTTCCTTCAACTTAACAGGCCCTACTTATGTCTTAAAATGTCTCGGTGCTGCCAATCTTCAATTGTGTTTGAGGTGAAATGAAACCCATAATGTGTATCAGTTAGGGTGCCATCAGGCTAAATACGTTTTATTATGTTAATCAAACTTAAACCAAGCTTAAGCTACAAATATGACTTGTTTGTTATATTATGATCATTTCATTTTTTTTCATGAAATGAATTATCAAGTTTATCAGAATTTGAGTCCTGGTAACTCTAATTTAATTGAATTTTAGGGTTTTTTTTTTAAATTACAGATATTAAAATTTATGTTTTGCATGAATCTATTTAGGATTTAATTTTTTATTTTTATTGTAAATAAGTTGGAATTCTTAACCAACTTTATGAAATGGATTTGCCTGCCCAATGAATCCCATCCCCAATAAAAAAAAAGGGAAATGGAAAAACAACTTTTGGCCTCGGATAAAATGCAGAGGACAAAGCTAACGTCAAGACTCAACACAACTTTTAATGGCCTAAATTCAACCAATATTTTCCCCTGAAACGACAAATGTGGTCTTGAGTCTTGACCAAGACAGAAAGTCCAGTGACCCAATGAGCCTTTTTAATTTTGAGAAATAAAATTTTCATTCTCAAATTGGAGATATTAAGGTGCAATTGGGACCAGCACATGCACCATTGATAAAAGGGATTAAAAGCTTACTGATTTTGCTCATTGTTCACTACTCCAATGCCAGAATGTCTCAAGAAATCCAGAAAATGCTGGTGCCAAACATAAATTCGAAATAATATTTCGGTCCTAGGAGTTTAGGTAGTAGTTTTTAATGAACATTCAATTTTCTTTAGAGATAATATCAGATCATATCATATTTGATTTAATTTTTTTATATTATATAATATTATGAAAAATTAAAATTTAATTTGAATTCGAATTAAATATTTTTTTGATGTGAATTGAATCGAATTTTATTAATTCAATTTGATTTATCAATTTTTAAATTTTAAATTTTTTATTTTAATATGAAATTTTAATATATTTAAATAAATTCTAATATAAAATTATTGTTTTTATTTATAAAAATTTAAAAAATATATAATTCATTTTAATTCAATTCGATTAATTTTTTAATTTTGTGCCTTTCAATCCAAAATTTAATCCAAAATTAATATATACATTTAATATTTAAATTTAATTTGAATCGAATAAAAAAATATCAATACGAACCAAATATTACAATTTTAAATTAATTTTTTATTTTTTTATTTTTTTCCTCACCCTAGCCTTCACTGTCAAAATGTGTATAAAGCATTAATAACTATTAAGGCTCGGACCAAACAGTATTTATTAAGAGGAAAAAGTGAGTGAACTCTTTGGGACCGATTTATTTTCTGCACCAATATTCCTTCAACTTTGGACTATTGAACTTATCATTAAAAAGGAAAGAAAAAAACAAGCATCAGTTTGGTAGAACAATTCAATATAATTTGAATTATGCAAGAAAAAGGAGTTGGGTACAAATGCTAATAAAGACTTGCTAGTAATTTCTTACGCACATTGAATTGAAACTACGAAAATACTTTACAACTGCAGCTGCAAATTCTTAATATGAAGCAGATTTTAAACATAAGCTTAAAAGTTTCACAAACTGTTTTGTCTCTGGCTCATACACAATACGGTTTTGGTATGGACTACTATTAATTGAAGATATTAAAAGCAGAATTGCCCAGAAAATGATTTTACCTTGGATGGTCACTATTATCAATGATTTTCAGTTTTTGGTCCGTGATGCTAGGAGAGACTTTTGATTTAGAATGAAGGGAAGAACCTATTAAGATTTCCAGGCAGGGAATAGAACTCTCCACTCCTGGTATCTGTATGGAAACTCCTGAACTTTTCCCACCAATGCCTGCCACTGTCTCGCCGAACTGAGCTGTGCCAGTAACTGTGGGTAGAGTCCAAGAAGAATGCGACTATAATCGCCACTGTTGCCGGGGATGAAAAAATCACTTGCATAACATTGTTGAACTGAAATCGATAAGACAATGATAATTACTTAATGGGAATTGGGAAGCATATTAAATTTAAACAGACGATGATGAGGCTGTTGGGGTAGCATGCAAATCGAACACGCTCACCCATGTAGAACGAGTGTGAACAGGACCATAGCCAGAAATTAGTAGATACTCGTTAAAATATTGAGGTATGGAGAGGCCCATGAAGAGAGAAAATCCCAGTATAAACTTTGTCCTGAAGCTGTTTAGGTTGCAAAACTGAAGGAGACCAAGGCCAGCTCCAACTGCTCAATCAATCATGGTATTTCAAAAATCTAGTCAATTCACATTATATTGCTTAAAGAACTTACAATATTACAAGTTGTACATATTGAAGAAAGCCTTTATTATCAACAATTTTCTTTTAGCTCCCAGATTTAAACCACTGCGTGTTTACCAAGAAATATAAAAGGGATACATACCAACGTAGGCAAAGAGGACACAGTACAGGGCAGCTATAATTGGCAATGGTATTGAAGCCAGAACAGCACCGAATTTTCCTGTCCATAAGCAGATTATGACAAAGACAAATCAGTCTACAGACTACAAGTGATAAGAACCTTGAAACACATGTAAGTCCTGTTACGAATTATTGTTCAAAGATTATAAAAACTACTAAATGAATATATATATAAGCTCCTATTAGTATTATACTTAAATAGAATGATAACAGCTTTGGCACCAATAAAATGTTGGAATATCTGTGATTCATTTATTGTATTAATAAGGAATACCATACCTAATACGGAAAAGAAAAGCATAAATAATGCCGATATTTGAATGACTCTCCGACTTCCAACTCTTGTTAATCCCAAAAGACCTGCATTTTCGCTAAATTACAGCAAAATAGAATTAGATGACAGAGGTCTTCTATATTTTTTGCTTGAACCAACCATTAATTACTAAAACTAAGAAAATATTGATTTATTGATATGTATATGATGTTGTTGAGTATGAGAGATGAACTTATAGATATCATCATCGAATAATTCTCCAAAAAATGTCATTATTAGCAAATTTGAAAGGATAATAATAATTACACTGAAGCAGTGGAGCCAGTTCCTGTGCCAAATAAACCATCTAGCAAAATGCCTACTCCCTGGAATTCACAACAATTGAAGAACTGATTAGAACCTGGAACTTATAAAATGTAGATTACACAATCTTAGGAAATGCACAAGGAGAAGAGATAATATAGATTTTGTTTTTACCAGCCAGCCAATACCACGGCTAAGTACAGAAGGTGGCATAGGAGTGGCACTCGCATATCTTGATGCTGCAATAAATGTACCTGTAGACTGCCAAAGAACACGAAGGAGCAATGAAAATTTTACTTCAAAATACAACTCTCATGCATTCTGGGCAAAGAAACTTTAGAAGATTTAGAATGAAGACATAGGGTCTTGAAGGAAGAAAATACGGCCAGAATGAATCTTTATACATCACATAAGTAATGTTAAGAAAATCCATAAAGGGAATTTGAAATAAGTAATTTTCATTGAAACAAACACAATCTAGCTGGTTTCTTTATTCATTTGCAATATTTAGAGTATATATACACATATAAACATATCAAGACTAACATCGACTAACATCCCATAAGTCACACCTCAATCATAGCAACAAAAGAGGCAGCCATCACTGCAACAGCATCGCCAGCATTGAAACTTGGTCTTCCCCATTGAAATGGATATGGAACCCTTATCCTGTATGCAGCAAAGCAAAAAATTAGCAAAAGTATAACCGGTATCAGCATTACCCTAAGGCACTGGGACAGAAGCATAAGTTCCAAATACTAGGAATTAAGGTAATAAACAACAGAAAAATCTCCTGCCAGCAAATTATATACCTGCTAATTGAATTCACTTGCCAAATCCTTTCAAAGTGCTTTTTTACATATTTCACATTATACACAAGGTAACCATCATTTAGATTCCCATCCCATGAGGTGCTTTTGAGCTCTAAACACCTGCTAATTGAATTTACTTACCAAAGCCCTTGTGCTTTTTAGATATTTTTCCACTTTGTATATCGGTAACCATCATTAAGTTTCTATCTGATGCAGTGTTATTGAGCTCTAAATACTAAAAATTAATTAGCAAGTGTATATGACGGGGAAATCAGAGAATAGAAATTTGGGAATAACAATATCTTGACACCAGCCGGCATCATACAACTAAAAAGAAAAAGAAAAAAAAGAAGAGCATGGGAATTTTGTGCAAATAATGTAAGTCACAACTTAATTGATACATATGGGCTCACCAAGGTGCAGCGCTGATGAGCCCAGAACGATCAGTACGGCAGCTGAACTGAGTTTTTGGAGATTTATGATCATAAGTACCAGCTGCTGTCAAAATTTCCGCATAAACCCATATAATCGCTACGGTGAAAAGAATTGCAAAACGGTCAAATATGGCTCTCTTTGATTTGATTAAATGGGGAGCATACTGCAAAAGCATTAATCAAAAAACACATCAATTGAAAACTCAAGAAGTTAAAGTAAAATGATTTACATTTATGACAAAAGGAACTAGTCCTTAGTTGTCTCAATTTTTATAAATTCCTGATTTTTTTACTATTTGCAAATTTGAGGAAAGATAAACAAAGATCATGTTAATGACTCAAGACAGCAAAGATGAAATCTAGCCCCTCACATAATATTGCACAGAGATTTGACACTCTGTTTAATGTAATCATTCTATGGTTTTTCATTCATTTTGATTATCAATAAAACCAGTTTAGGACTGCAAGCAAGAGAAATACACTTCTTGTACATCTGTTATCTACCCAAAGGAATGCAAATGATATATATATATATATGTAAGATAGAATAAGAGCACAGTTTTAAAATTCAAAGCCTTACTCTTACTTGTTGATGGAAATGTTTCATTAAACATGCTCATAATAATGGCGAAAAAAATGCCCATAGTAAACAAGGATTAAGAACCCAGGTCACCTGAGATAAGAAAACCACTGCTACCAATGCTGGGAGTCCAACTTCAATGCATTTGGCCAACTACATGCAACAAAAGAAAAAAAAAAAGGTCACTACGACAAAAAGAGCGAAACAATCTACAGAAATTATTGTAACGTAATAACAAGAGTTTTGCATAAAATTCTCATTTTAATCAAGAGTTTCTCCCGCCATCCACACATCTAACATACAGTCAGCAATTCCTTTGTTCCACAATGAAAGAACATCTACAAAATTTAATTTTAGATTTCAATGGAGCAAACCATCCAAATATTCACTTATCCACCACAACACTCATGCCAGGGCAATTACAAGAACCACAAAGTATGTTTACCAATACAAAGGGAAACACTGAAAGTCCCAAACTGATAATGTCATTGAAATTTTAGTAGATAGCTCATGGAAATAATTCTATCAAAACAAAGAACCTATAACAAACATGGTTCTTCTAGGTTTGAACCAAGAACAAACTCCTCAGAGAAAACTCTGAGGTTTCTCAATCGGTAATGAGGCTGAAAACATATCCAAATTTCAGGTTTTGCTAGAGGATAAGAAGCAGCACAATTATCACTCCGTGCAATATCCAATGGGCCCAGTTGTCTTAACGACAGTAGTTAGAGCTCAAGATTTAAGAAGACTACTAAAGCTGCTTGGATACAAGCATTTCTACACAGCAATGCCAGAATGAAGAGTTTGGTGCTCTTACTTGTGGGAAACCATGTGCATAGAGCCCAAGTCCCGTGAGAATCACAAGAGGAACAGCTGCAAGGGGGCTGAAAAACCTACACCACAAGACAAAAAAATTAAGTAAGTCAATGGAACAAAACAAATCCCAAAATTCAATTAGGCATGTTTCCAACATCCTACCTCGCGAAAATTCTCCAGAAACCAAAGAAACCAAAAGCCATAGTAAAGAATGATGCAACAATAAGTGCTCCTTGTACATCTCTCATGGATCGTTTAAACCTCTGAAAGATCAAATGTCGTCAGCACGCAAACTTATTACCAAATCATACTAATCATTTACTGTATGTCATTGACATTAAAAACGAAAGAACGTTCTGAATTGTAATAGAAAGAAATAAACCTGGTGGGGTTCAATGAAGATGCTGTATCTTCTGGATAAAGCAATGGAAATGGTGGGGATAATGAAAGCATAAGAAGCCCCAATCACCACTGGCAGCCGGGTTCCAAACAATGTCTGCAATAGTGTGTTTAGGCCAGCAACAAAGAGAACAGTATTTATAACCTCAGCTTTCTCCACCTATTTTTTCAGAAATGAAACACGACGTTTAGCTCAAAGTGACCATAGAGCTAATCGGCAAATGGGCAAAAAGAAGAAAAAAAGTCAAAAAATTTATTTCAATTAAAAACCCTGTTTCCTTACATTGCCACCGCCCAGTAAAGGAACAAGTATGGATGGTATGATAACAGTGGTCCCAAGCATTACCAAGTAATGCTGAAATCCTAGAAGTATTGCTTCAGCTGCATTTAAACCAGAAACTCAGCAAGTTTTTGAGCGTATAAGAATCACAATTAAGAAATTCCCTATGCCGCTTTTAGTTTCAACAAAACAGAGTATAATGTGAGAGACCAAGAGTCTTGAGCAGAAATTCGTCGTTACTTGAAACCCAAGAAAACGAGAATTTCACAAAAAAAAAAAAAAAAAAAAGAATGAGAAGAGAAATGAAAGTTTGATTATGGGGAAAGAAAAGGAAATTTTCGAAAATTAGAGTAATAAGATCTGTTTGGTTGTCTAGAAAATGCAGGGGTAATCAGGTAATACATAGCGAGGTTTCAAAATCCGAGAACACACCGGTTATCGAAAAATAACAAAGAAAACCGAAACTGTAAGAACAAAGGAGGAGAATAAAAAAACGAATCACATGAAACATTATCATTCGATCATTTTCGTTTTTTTTTTTTTTTTTGTTGGTCTTCTTGACGTATCCCTCGTTATTTTCCACTATAACAGATTTCTCTCTACATGATTTCTCTTCTCCTTTCTCTCAACCAAACAAACAAACCTGCAAGTTTATTTTATAGAGCTTTACGAGTTTCATTCCGTATGATGACTTTTACGAATTAATGCAAAGAAACAAGGGAAGAGGCGACAAGAAATAGAACTAACTAAAAAGTGGTAAAGACTAAAGAGTAGGGGAAAAACAGCGGGAAAGAAGCTTCGGTGATCGATAGCGAAGATCAAAGAGTGAGAATGAAGATAGTAGGTAGAGCATAATCGAAGAAGTAAGAAACAAATGAGAAGAAAAGGAAGAAGAGGAAGCGAAAGGTGGTGATCGTACGCCAAGGAGGAGAGCTGGAGAGGCAGTAATCAACACCAGGGAGTTGGTCTTTGACAGGGAAGGGCTGGAAGTCATCCGACTTTCCTCCTCCACCTCCACCTCCACCTCCACCTCCGGCTCCACCAGCTGCCATTGCTTTCTTCTCGGTTGTTTGTTGTTGAAGACAACTTTGGTTATGAATATATGTAAGGGACCAAGGAGCGAAGAGTGACGTGAAAAATGATGGAAGAGGAAGAGCATCATACAATGAGGGGTTAGGCGGCGACGTTTTGACTGGAACCATCTCACACTCCTTTTCTTTATTATTTGTTTGGGTTGTTTGGAAAGCTACCAACTGCAGGTGTGATTTGAGAGCGACCTCATCGACTCTCAAATCAATAGACAGACAGTGAAAGAAAGAAAAAAATCCATTGTGGCTTTTGACGTTCCCAGTCAGATTCGGATTCTTACGTACGAAGAAACTCCGTTGCCGCCTTTAATTTTTGCTTTTTTTTTTTTTTTTTTGGAAAATACGGAACGGAAAGATCCTTTCCTTTCGCACAATTTGGTGTCGATTTCTCCAATTTACCTTTATGCTTTTTCTTTTTGGTAAATGGTATAAAAGATTCGCGGTAAAATTAGTAAATAGATTATTCATTTTCAGATCAGAACAAATTGGATGTATAGTATTTCGTATTAGCATCGACAAAGTATTTATTATTTTTTAATAAAATTGAGTTTATAGTTAATATATTATCAATATATAAATTTTAGATATTATTAATAAATTAAATAATATTATTTTTATTAATTAATAAATATTACTTTTTTAAAAAAATATTTAATATTTTAATATTTTAAAAAATTTTATTCACTAATTAAATAACATCATTTAATTTATTGATAATAGATAAAATTTATATATTGATTATATATTAAATATAAATCTAATAAAATTGGACTAAAAAAATACTTACTTTCAGTTAAATTAACTCATCAATTAAGTCAATTTTTTCTTCATAATTTAAATGCTTATTTATTAATTTAGAAGTATTCATTTCATTGATTTGATTAAAAAAGCAATTAAATTACTTTAAATTTTATTTTTTACTTTAGTTAATTAAATCAAATTATTTTTAAAAAAATTAATTTTAATTGATTATAATATTTTCATTAATTTGACCGATTAATCAACTTTTAATTATTCTACCATTAATAATTTAAAATTACATCTTAAAGTTTTAAATTTTTCATTTTTCCTAATTCCAATAAATATAACCATTCAACCATTTTTTTTTTTAAATCATTCAACCGATATTCAAATGCCAAACATACTTAAAGTGTACATCAACAATATGTTAAAAACTTCAATAACTTAAAACTTAACCATATCTAACAAAGAATTAAAGATATAATGTCTTATATATTTTTTGAATAATTTAGGTAATTTGATTATTCTTATAACAACTAAAACAAGAATCATGGGAATTAGCTTTATTATATATATATATATATATATATATATATTATATAGGGTTGACATCGGGTCAGATTCGGGGCGAATTTTGCTCGTCCCAAACTTGACCTGACTTTTATGAGTTATTAAATTCGAATTCGACCCTACTCAAAATTTTTTATTGTTTTTTCATACCCAAACCTGACTCCCGACCTAGTATTATATAAACCGTACATGATTCGACTCGAAATTAATAAAATATTATTTTTTAAAATATAAAATATTATTTTTTAAATATAAATATTTAAAAATATCACTATATAAACATATATATAAATAATTAAATAATTAATTAAAAAATAAATTTTTATATAATATCAGGTCGAATCGGATCAGATTCACCTAAAATTCGAACCGACACCGATTATTTCATAACCTTATCCAATCCGACCCGATCTAAAATTCAAATTAAAAAAAAAAAATCAACCTCATAAGTCGGATCAAATTGGATCGGAACCCATAGGGGACGGGTTGGATTGCCGTCAATAATTATATATACCGAAATAGAAAATAGAGGTACGTATGTTTCTCGTTTTTAGAGCAAAACCTTACAAAATACGAAGCTTCCATTTGTTGCATAATATTGAACTGAAATTATTGTTATCATTAGCAGTGCAATTCTTTGTGGGAGGTTCTTGTGCAAAAGAGTAAGCATTAAGCAATCGTTTTTTTAGCTTAACCGATCCACCTATTTATCGTATTCATGGGGATTTCCCACTTCCTACCCACTAATGTTGTTCGCCATTTACCGTCTACCCTTTTTTTTTTTTATATTAGAATAAATTTACAAAAAAAAAAAAAATCTTATCACAATGTTTCTATTGGTATCAAGTTTTTTTTTTTTTTTCTTTTTTTAGAGTTCATCTTCTCTTAATAGATGCATAATTAATTGCTATAAGAAAACTCATACTATTAGTTGGCTTTTGGTCTTATATTTTTCTTTTCTATATATAAAAAAAAAATCATACTTTAAAAATAAGATCCAATGAATTGCAAATGTTGGGATATAAATTTTAAACTTATTTAATGTTAATGTTACGAATTAGATAAGAGGAAATGCAAGATAGTTTCAAATTTTGAATTATTAATGCACTATAACCTTGTTTTTAGTTAGGTTTACCAAAACAACTACCCTAACACTTAGAGGTTGAAAATTTTAGGGAAAATTAAAGACATTTTCTCTTTTGCCCCATTGACCAAAATTCAAAAATGATAATCATATAATAGCCAATCAGAGATTTATTTGGCTTAGAGTCACCACATTAATCTTTTTTTTTTTTTCTTGGAGGGTAGGGTAGTCTAAGGAAGGTGTGCCAACCTTGGAGTTTTCTCTCTTTGTTTGGCTTTTTAATTGGTAAAAGACAATCTTCATTAGGGTAATTTATTAGTAAATTAATAAGGGATTGGCCCAATTAAACTCAAAATTAGTTGTAACAAATGCAATAAGATTGAACAAATGAACCCATATTTCTTCTTAATTTCTACTCATAAAATAAAATAATAAAATACTCCATTGAAATTTGAATGTGAGGTACCATTTAATTAATTTATGTAATTATCTTAAAAAATAACATAAAATAAATTTAAAGTTTAAATCTCAAAATCTATAAAATTTTTTATTTTTAAAATATGATTTTCTTTATAAAATATACTCCACTAAGAATCAAAATAAAAAATTTTCTGCCATGATTTTTATAGGAGGGAAGAAAGAAATTCAATGATGGAGAATTAAATAAAGTCATCAATACAAGAAATTAGTAATCAACTTTAGTTGCTATTGACAAACCTTGTGGCTGGTCCATAGCCCAAAAAAGAAAGAAAGAAAAACTGTAAAAAAGGTGGGAAAAACTTGTGAATATATAAATAATCAGGAAGCCATGTTTGAAACTCGTGGACTTGGGATGGCATGGGATACTTTTTCCTTACGCTTTAATTATGCCCTGAAATGGGCCTATCTTAGATATTTGGGCTCAAGTATGGCTTTGTGTTTGCCATAAGCTAGATTCTAGCATCTTATAGTAATTTTTAGGCCCGCCCAAAGCCATCAAATCAGAGATCTTATGGCAAAATTATTTTTTATTTTAATTTTTAGGACTTTGCTTTATCATAGCCGGTTCACCCATTTATTAAAAGTGTTGTACTATTTGCCGCCTCCCCTCCATCTTCATATAAAAAAAATAATGCTAACAGCTCATCTATCAATAAAATATTAGATTTTTAATGATAATAATCAAGGCTCAATCTTACATAACTTCGAGTGCAAAAAAACTATTTAAAGAAACATCTTTGAGTTCTTTGACTCGCTAAACTTGGGAAGTGCAGCTGTCGCGGTTCATGAGAAGGATCGGTTTCAATGGTACGGATAAAAACATATCAATCGATATGAGTTTTTATTTATTTGGAATTAAATTTGACTTTATATTTATAATATATGAAAGCGATTGGATTCAATAAATATTTTTATTTTTTATATTTTAATCCAATTCAACATTACATAAATTTACAATTAATTCAATTTAAAATTAATAAAATATTATTTTAAAAATATAAATATAAATTTAAATAAATATAAAATATATAAATTTAAAATTAAAATTAAATAAATAATAAAAAATATTTATACATATAAATATATATTAAGTAGAAACGAGATAAATTGGCCTAAAATTTAACATTAATTTGTTTTATTATCCCATCCAACTTAATCAAAAGCCCAATTCAAAAAAGAATTGAATCCTATAAAATCGATAAGATCAAAATCCGAACAAAGGGTTCATTCCGAGAGAGGGAATTCGAGCATTTTCTTTTCGTTGGTGTATTATCATCTATTGTACTTGCATGAAGGAACTACCAGGAGCCATGATGATCATTATTTGGGACCTAATCTATTGAAAATCTCTTGGGGAGAAAAAAAAAATCTCAAATTTTGATAACTGTGGTGGCTAATCTTGAATAGTGATGACAATAGATCGAGTCGGAATGAGTTTTTATTCGTTTTGAATTCGATCCGATTTTAAATATATAAAATTTATATTCGTATTCGATCCGATAATTTTTTTATTTTTAATATTCAAATTCGATCCGATTCGACATTGTATAAAATCAAATTCAATCTGATCCGACTCGAAATTAATAAAATATTATTTTAAATATAAATATAAAATTAAATAAATATAAAATTAAATATAAAATTAAATAAATAATTAAAAAAATAATTTTTTTATATATGTCAGGTCGGATAGGGTCGGGTTTGTTTAAAATCTAACCCCAACCCAAATCCGAATTTTTTTATGCTACCCGATCAAATATCCGATTTTCAAAAAAAAAAATTGATCTTAAAGGGTCGGGTCAGATAAAAACCTTCGATTTCGGGTATTTTTACTTTCCTTAATCCTGAAGATGAAACCTAAAACCCAAGAACAACGAAAAAAAAAAAATCTAGAAAGCACTCAACTAAAAGAAAATTTCCAAAGTAATTATTTCAACGATTGTTACTGTTGTGACACAATAGTGATGTTAATAGAAATTTTTGTGAGCAATGGGGTATAGGCCATCATAGCTAAATATGTATAGTAGCAAACTAATATCTGTTTTTTTTTTTTGGATTTAAATACAAATTTCAATTATGCAAAAAAAAATAAAAACCCGAAGAACAACCATTTCTTGACGATTAATTAGTTTAGGTTGCCTACATACCTTTCAAGCTAAGAAATTAGTCTAATTTCATTAGAACTTTGATTGTCTGTAGCACTTGTTTGTTTTGTGCTGGCAAATAAGGAGTTAAATGTAAAGGACGAAAAGAGACTTTGTTTTTGGTACGTTCACACTTCATATTATTATTCCTTGAGAGTGCTATATTTGGTTTGAGATTATGATCTAAATAGTCTTTGAATTATTATAATTTTTAATGTGATACTTAAATAAAAAAATTTATATTTTATATATTATTAATAAATTAAAAATATCATTTCATTAATAAGATGAATATGATAATATCACCTTATAATTTTTTTTTCGCACATTGTAATATGATTTTTCTTTTTGGATACAATTGTTTTCAACACTATCTTCCAAACTAATATACAGATATAGATGGATCTCATACATTCTCGTTAGATCTGCCCACGAATTAGGATTTGGACAAACATTTTGAAACTCGTCTGACTCATGAATATATTTTATTATTAAATAATTTACTATTATTTAATTTTAATTTAAAAATATTAATATATATTTTAAAATATTTTAATAATTATTTTAAATTAAATAGGTCTAAATATATTTTAGTGGACGAACCGTGTCGTGCCTTGGATAAATATTTTGAAATGATTTCATTTGTTTTACAGAAAATAATTTTTGACAAATAATTTTTTATTTTTAAGTATTTGTTTGGTCGAAAACTAACTAGTCAATGAAAAATGATTTATTGATTAATAAAAAATGAAATCATTTTTTTGAAAATTATTTTACGGAATTGAAAAGGGAAGACATTTTTTTAAAACAATCTGTCTATGAGTAAATTTTTTTATTAATACTTTTAAGCATAATTTTACTTATAAATAATATTATATAAATAAATAATATACTATTAATATAATATACTAATAAATAATATTAAAAAATATTATAATATATTCATAAAATAATATTATATTAATAAATATTATTACAAATAAATATTATACTAATGTATTAATTTTAATAAATAATATTATATTAATACATCATATTATAATATATTAATAAATTTTATTAATTTAATTAATAAATTTTATAACAATATATTAATAAATAATATACTATTAATATAATATATTAATAAATATTTTTAATAAATAATATTATAATATATTAATAAATAAAATAAAGAATAATAAATGGTTTTATTTTAAGCATTTTTTATATTAACATAATATTTTAATATTAAATATATTATCAAAATATAATTATTTTTTAATATTAATAATTTTAATAATAAATAATTTAAATATAGTTTAATAATAAATAATTTTTAATATTTTAATAGTTATATTAATATTATTTGAAAAAAATAGATTTTTCAGAAAATAACCACATAACGGAAAATATTTTTTATTAACTCATCCAAATAATAAAAAATCTCTTTCAATTAAAAAAATATAAACATTTTTTAAAAATTATTTTTCAAAAGTAAGCTTTTGTGAAATAAACATAACCGTAAATTTAGTCTAATAAGGTCCATGAATAAATATAATTATTGTTCGTTGATGTATTTTAATTTTGTTTGTAAAATTTAAAATTTCCATAACAATGTATAATAGAAGAATTTATCTAATTTCACTAAGGTCATAATTTTATTCCAATATTTACAAAATAATACTTCTTGTGAATAAATTAATAAATTCATTTAATGGAAACTCAAGTGATGTATAAATTAAAAAATATAACTTAATTTCTAATGATACAACACAATAATTTACACTTTTACAAAATATTTAAACATGAAAAAATGAAACTAAAATATATCAATTTGAATCGTGGATATTTATACTATTTAATAGATATGATAAATTCACATTACACTAATAACTAAGTACATTTATTCATTATTGGTTAGGTTCATGAATATCATAAATTTATGAATGGATAAATTTATGAATAATTAAATTAATGCAATTTAAGTTTGATTAATGATTGTTTATTATGATTAATGATTATTTATTATGAATTTAGACTCAATATATTAAATTTAAATAATGCTAAACATGAAGTATATTTATTTATAATTAATTAGGATCATGAATACATGAATTTGGTTCAATTCATTAGATTCATAAATAATTAGATTCATGTAATTTAAAATAAAAAATAAAAACATTAGTTAATAATATCATGAATCAATTAATTACAAATCATACAATGTAAGTCTTATAATTCATTCACTTAAATTCGGCTAAATTAAAACTAGTTTGTAAATAACAAATTTTTTATTTTTCCTTTATTAATTAAAAATAGTTTGTAAATTAATCTTATTTATTTAAATATGTGCGTAAATACATAAATTAATATTATTTAATTTATATATCTAAGGTATTAATAAAATGCATAAAATATAATCAAAATATAAAATCATAATAACAAACTCGATTAATAATAGATAATGTGGACAATAATATATAAAATCAAAATATAAAGTCATAGAAGTTTGTTATTTTATCTCTCATATATGTCATTTAATTAGATATTTTTGGTTTTTTGGATTCTTTAATTTGTGAATTATATGCATCCATAAAAAAAAATGAATTCAAAATAAATATTATTTTTTTATAAGAACAAAACTCTATAAGTAATAGTATACCAAAAATTTCAAATTAAAAAAAAAAAGTAATAGTAATGTGACATGTAACACATACTATTGGTGATAATTAAGATTTATAAATAAATTTTAAATTAATAAATATATTTTGAATTTTAAAAAATAATAAATTATATTGTGCATTCAAATTTAAAAAAAAATAAAAAAGATTATAAATAAATTTATTAAAGTAAAAATATTTTTTTCGATATTTTAAAGTTGCAAGTTTGTATTATAATTCAATCTTGACTTTAAATAGATAATATTCTCTCTATCCAATTTTCTTTATCCATATATATATTTTTGAGATATCTTAAAATTATATATATTTTAAATATTTACTTTTTTATATTTTAAAATTATTTTAATGGTTTTTTTAAATATTAAAAATCATAAAATTTTAATTTTAATATTAAATATATTAAAATCAAAAACTTTTTTTAAAACTTTCTTGAAAATTAATACAAGATAAATAAATTAAAACGGAAGGAGTAGTAATTTTATCTATTTAAAAACTCAACTATAAATTGGTCAAACATAAATTTAGGATATATATCTCGTGAAGAGATGATGCTCATGTGGAGTCCACCTAAGAATTTTTTATCAATTTTTTTTTAACCTTTTTATATTATATATTATGATATGATTGGTTGTAGTTTCCATATCGTACCGCATGTGCCGAAGCAATTAAACCTCACCGAAGGACACGCGTCCACATCACTAGCAATATAATAAAATGTACAGATAACCTTTTGCTGTATATAATTATCCAATTGCCTTCTTTCTCTGCACAAAGCCCTTCTCTTTGTCGTAAATTTTTGTCCAAGAAAGGGGAAAGAAATCTGCCTACTGAAACTATCAGCAAAAAACACAAAGAAACAATGAGTTATTACAATCAGCAACAGCCTCCCGTCGGTGTTCCTCCTCCTCCGGGTCAACCCCTGATTTTTCACGTTCTTTATTATCTGGGTTTTTTTATCTTTTCTTTTTGGGTTTCTATTACCGTTTTGATTATATGTTTGCATTATGATTGAATGGCTTTGTATTTTTTATTGAGTAATAGGTTTTCCACCAGAAGGATATCCCAAGGATGCTTATCCACCACCGGGATATCCCAATCCTCCTCCCTATGACGCTCAATATGCTCAGCCTCAACTTCCTCAGAAGGAGAAGAGTACTGGTTGCTTAGAAGGCTGGTAAGTCCTCAATATCTCTCTCTTCTCTGTTTTTAACGTATATATACATACATGTACAGTACAACTATACGGGTACATCTACCGTATATGGTAGTCAGGTATAGGATGATAGCTGATACTGAAGAATTCAACTTAGAACATGTTTTTGGGTTTGAAAACATCGTGTTGGTCACAACAATCGGGATTACCGATTAAAATGGGATAGGGTTCACATCATCAGTTCGGCAGTTAATTGCCCCCAAAACTTCCCTTTTCCTGCTTCTTTTTCGGTTAGGGAAGGATGATAAAAATTCCTTTCACCACACCGTCAAATTGTAGCTCAAGCTCTTGATTATTGTTGTGGCGTTTAGCAATTCTTGTTTTTATTGCTTGTGCAGTTTGGATGCTCTCTGTTGTTGCTGCCGGCTCGATGCCTGCTTTTGACAAACCAACTTTGCCGGCATATATTGAACCGATCGAAGTTGAATCAAACGCATATTCAAATTTTAAATCTTCATTCCAATTTGAAATATTCTCTTTGTCGATCGCCTGTTTAAATTTTTACTTTTTTTTTTCTGTCGTTTGTTTATTGTAATTAATGATTGAACCTTTGCTTGAAATTGAACTCTTGTCTGTTCTTCCATTTTTAAGTTCAGCCAATCGAAAGTTTCTGAGCTTTCATCATTCTTTTTTCATGGTTTGGAGTTTTGGAGACGAAGGTCAGCGAAAGGAATATTGTCCAGCTCGATGTGTAAAGAAAAAAAAGTTGCAAAAAACAAGCTGAAACCAATTATTCGATACATTATTAATTAAATTTTTAATTCTACAAATAAAATTATCATGTCTTATTTTTCTTAAAATTAATTTTTTATTTTTTAAATTATACATTAAAAGATATGCTTAATTTTTAAATTAATTTTTTATTATATAATATAAATTAATTTTACTGAAACTAAAAAAAATTTATTATCATTATATATGATAATTTCTCATAAATTAAATTGTTAGGAAAAGTAAAAAACGAGCACTTCATACGATTAGTTTACGCCTCTCCTGTCCCAATATGAGTGCATTTTGAAATATGTTTTATGGTGGAAGGTGAAGGGCCAAAAACCTTGACATTTGGAAACAATCCGATTATAATTGCAACGCCTACCCAGCCAGGATTGCAAAAAAAAGGGGTTAACTTTATATATATATATATATATATATATATATATATTTTGGTCTAAGTCATATCATTATTTACTTAAAAATTTTTAGTATTTATTCGTTTCAATGGGATTCGGCTGGAACAACCTATCACGATCGGATATCCATTTGACTGCTATGGGTGAGACACCAAATCACGTTGGATATCCATCTGGTTGCTACGGGCGTGACATGGTGAAAGAACATTTTCAGTTTCACCATCTTACACCTCATTTTTTGACTGAACCTTGGATCCAACGAGCTTCATTGCAGTACCTAGATCTGATAATTTTAAATATAACAAATTATACTATATGAAAATGACACGTAATAAATCGTATATGTATTTTTTATAATTGTATTTCGCATCTTAATCGTGTCGACACATTTAAAACATGACGTTGCACGTGTCTTGTTTCATGTCTTACGCGTGTTACACGTTTATGACATGATTAATTAATTAATCGAGTTAACATGTCAATACGTATAAGTGACATATTTATGACACACATAAGTTATATCCATTTAACCCTACTATTAAATAAAACTACACTGTTTTAACTAAAATTGTAAAACCCTAATACACTTTTGTAGTTTTATCTTTTCCTCTCATTCATGAAAGTTCCCTTAACCTAATCGGCTTCATCCCTTTCTCCTTCATTCTTTTCTTCCCTTGCTGAAACCACCTTCACCCCTCCACCAAACTCTTCCATACCAAATTCTTGTCTTTTATACTCTTTGCCTCTTTTCCTCTCTTTCATCTACCAAAGTCCAAAGCAAACCCTAAATCACTAATAATAATAGGACTACAAGAGTTGATTACACCTTCAGCAATTGAGCATGGAGCACTGATCGTCTACTACTTATCCTAATAGTATCAGGTTTGTCTTTGTTTTTTTTTTTAATTTTTTGCTTAATTTTGCAATGATTTTTGTCTTTGTTATTTCTGTCACTATACTTTAATGTGATTGAGCACTCTTTTAGCCTCTTTTATTCTTTTATCTATCCTTCCAGCTAACTGGTTTGCTCTAAAACCATTAGGTTTGCAGCTAGTATTGATAGCTCCTTATCTTTAAGCTCATTAAGAAGGAACGAGCAAAAGACTTGTAAAGCAAGTTAGTTGTAGTCGTTGTCCTGTTAGCGGTAGTTCTTTTAGTTGTTTTCCTTTCATCGTTAGGTTCGTTAGCCAGCCAGTTTCTTAGGTTGGATAAGAACTATGTGTTTGATGCCATCGAGTCAGGGAAGGGTAGAAAGAAGGATTACTTTCTTTAGTTATCTAGCCAACATTTTTTGTAATGGTGTTTGATTAATTCTTAACTAAACACACACACACACCAAAATTGAACACTACAAAACCAAAAAAATAAATAAATAAAAATTTCATAATTATATGTAAATGCAGTTTCTTAAAAGTAATAGACAAATCAAAAATAGCTTTAATAACAATCCCTAAGTAATACTACAACATCAGTTTACAAGTAATTGTGTAGCAAAGTTGAAGAGCTCGTCAAATAATCAAGGTTAAAGCTTTTAAGTTTTAACTAGTTTGCATATTAGAATTTTTATCAAATATTTTTACCCAAGAAAAAAAAATCCCTATTATCAAGTTTCTCATAAGTAGTAGGACACAAAGAATTTCATACTAATGAACAAAATTTATCCGTGAAGTGTGAAAATAACAACTACACTATTATTATTCAAATTAACAATACTACTAAAATAAACTTAGCCAAATTAGAAAAAATAACAAACTAATCTAACATTTTCTCTGTTTTACATAAATTTTGTTTGATTAAAGGATGCTACTGTCTGATTTTTAGCTCAATAGCTAAAACATTTCAAGCATTTTTTCTTCACTATCATCATTAATTAATCAGTAGAACTCTAATTTTTTTTGGAGTTAGTTTTACTTAATTTTTGTTTTTTATATTGTAATAGATAACTAAGCTTGGGTCTACATTTGAATTGGTTTATCCCATTCGAAAATGACAATGGTGACAAATCTTGAGGTATCTATTATTAGAAACTAATAACTACATATCTTTACTAAGATTAGTATCATATTTTACTAATGAAAGATAAATATTTTTTAGATGAAATCTAATAATATCAATATTAGCTTTCAATCAAAAGTTGTTGATATGTAGTTGGAGGAAGACGATGATGATATTATAAAGGCAAAAGAGATATAAGAGAGAGAGAAAGGAAAGAAAAAAAAAAGGGACAGCTAGTTGCAAAAAGAAGCACACTTCATCTGTTTGGTCAGTCTTTCAATTATTACCTAAAAAAATAGTTAGTGGTATTTCAATTGCAAAATACAGTTATTGTGGTGTTGTTAAAAATTATAATAGCAAGTATTGAACTGATAATCTAAAATGCCATATTAGCAATTGTGTTAAGATGAACACACGTGATGCTGGCCAAATGATTTTTTCTTTAGAACATGGGTTTATGGTAATAAAGCTTTTAAAATTTGATCCTGAAAAGTTTCATGAATTGTTAACAGCTGCAATTATCATTTATAATTTCCCATTATCATTTGTAAAGTACAAGGGCATTAGGGCTATATTTTTTTATTTGTGTGATGATGTAATTTTGATCAGTAAGAACACTACTTAATATGATTTGATTAATATGCATAATAAAGAACAAAGTAAGATAAGACATATGCTTGAGGAAACACTTAGTAGGATTTGTCTGACTTTTGATTTGTGAACATCTGTTACTTCAGATGGTTATATGTGTCTTACTGCTCACTTTATTGATCAAAATTGAGATTTACAAAAAAAGATTTTGAATTTTTCCATTACATCACCTCTACACAATGGTGTTGCATTGAGTAAAAAGGTATACGCATTGTTAGCTAAATGAAAAATTGAAAGTAAACTATTTTCTGTGACATTGGATAATGCTTTTGCCAATGATACATTTGTTGATTTTCTAAAAGCACAACTGAATGTAAGGAAAGCATTTTTGGTATATGGTCTTTTTTTTTCATTTAAGATGTTGTGCTCACATTCTTAATTTAATAGTGCAAAATGGTTTGAAAGAGGTTACAAATGTTGTCAAAAAAATAAGGGAAAGTATTAAATGTGTGAAAGGGTCTCAAATGAGAAAACAAAAATTTTTAAAGTGTGTTAACCTAGTGAATTTAAATGCAAAAAAAAGAATTGAGACAAGATGTTCCAACTAGGTGGAACTCTACATTTCTTAAGCTTCAAAGTGCCATTTACTTTTGCATGGCTTTTACTCACTTGGGAATTAATAATTTGAATTATAAAAATTATCCATTTAAGGATGAGTAGGATGAAGTTGAGAAACTTTGCAAGTTCTTAAGTGTTTTTTATAATATTATTTATGTGTTTTTTGGAGCAAAGTATCCCACAGCCAACTTGTACTTGCCTTTAGTTTTCAGGGCACACTTGACCTTGAACGAATACTTGAATGATGATGATACGTATGTTAAAAACATGGTTGCTCAAATGCTTGTTAAGTTTGATAAATATTGGTATGAATTACTTTGATTTTAACTATAGTTGTGATATTAGATCCCTGTTACAAGTTTCAATTTGTTGATTGGAGTTATAAAAAGCTTTATAGGAATGATTCAATAAAGTTCATAAATGTTAGAGTGAGTTTATTTTCTTTTTATAATGAATATGTTGTCAAACCTTTTATTTGTGGTTTATGCTTTAACATTTCTAACAATAAAACTTTTGATAAGGGATTCGGTAGCATGGGTGCAAATGATGTTTACAAGGTAATTCAATTTTAATATCTTTTCTGTTATTTCATTATAATTTTTTTATTTTAATATTTTTATACTTTTTTTCTTAATTAGAAATTCGATGCTTATGACATTGAGTTTGGTAATAATGTACAAAAATTTTAACTAAAGCTTTATTTGGATGAACAAAGGGTTGATAAGAAACATGAATTAGATATTTTACAATTCTAGAAGGTAAATCGGTTTCGGTATCCTGATCTTGCCTCCATGGCATGAGATGTTTTGAGTATTCTTGTCTCTACAGTGGCATCCGAATCTATTTTTAGTATTGGTGGCAAGATTCTTAACCAATATCATAACTCATTCAAGCTAGATATTGTGGAGTGAATTATTTATTGCAAGGCTTAGCTTTTTGGAGAAATTGGTAATGATATTTCTTTTTTTTTTTTTATTGAATGTTTAGTTTTCTTTATGTTATCACTAGCACTAGCATAATTGTGAATATAATTTTATCAATGTAAAAGATGCAGAGTTGAAGTTAAATGAAATTATACAAGATATTATCCAATTAGATATTAACAAAGAAGATTTAGCATTAATATTCTGCCTAATGAATTAGGAATGAAAATTTAGTAATGCAAAAAGTAATTCCTTCAATTCTTTTAACTTTTTCTTTAGATTTTTTATTTTTATTGAATTTGATTAATATATTTTTTTACTTTATAAATAAGTGGCAATTGATAATGCTCAATGCATAGGAGAATGGAGATGTTCAATGGACAATGCATGGAGAATGGAGATGTTGATATGTCAAAAGATTCAATTGTTGCTATATATGAATGTTGACTTCTATAATATAGTTATGTTATAGTTTTATTATATAGTTATGTTAGATAATTCTGTTGCTATGGTTCTATTATATAGATCTATTGTTAATGTTATAATGATATATTGATATGTGGATTGGTTTGTGGTTATTGCTTACTATACTACTGCCTATTGGTTGTGAAGTGTGGACCTTGTGGTTATAAAGTTATGGCTTATGCCTTATGTGGATAGATGTGAATGTGATAATGGTTGTGGTTGTGGCTATAAATTTATGAGTTATGATTGTGGTTGTGATTATTTATTTATTATCAAGTTTATGGGATTTGTTTTGGTTAGGATTATTAGATTTATGTTTCTTTTTCCATGAAAATCTTATGATTAAAGTGGTAAATTGTGTTTAGGGTTTTAGTATTTTTATTATATTATCTTTTTTTATTTAATGTTGAATTGTTGGTTAGATATTTTAAAATTAATCGTGTTTAATTGTACTAATTATGTATAATCATATTAGTCGTATCGTGTCGTATTATATATTCTTAAAACGAATTAAAATATGTAATAAACGTGACATATTCGTATTTAGATTATTCGTGTCATTTAAATATTTATTCATATTCGTATCAAGTATATTTATATCATATTTAAAATCGATACAAAACATGATACGATAATATGAATTATCGAATCTAGCAGTACCTACTTTTTTTTTTACTTTTGATGTTTTTATTTTTTATTTTGTTTTCAATTATGTATTTATATAAAGGAATAAGCTTATTTATATATATATAAATTTATGTAAATTATTATTTTATATATAAAATTCACATATATAATTATTAAATTTTTATTATTTTAAATCTTAAATGTATTATTTTAATATAAATTTATATTATTTAAATTTTAAAAAATTTAATCATATAACGCGTTTAACGACGACAATCTCATGGTAATCTTAGCATGGTCAAAATTCTAAATCCCCCAAAGTCGGCTCTTTGACACGTGTCTCCCACAGATTCAGGCCGGCATCTCAGCGCACTCCATAGGTGACACGACAGTAACCCTAGGCTTATTTGGAAACAAAATGAAAAAAAAAAAAAACCCTAACAAAATTTTGTGCCAGAAAGCGAGAGCATTTCGTTGAACCTGCGTGTAATCTTCTGTAGCATAGCATTGTCATAACAGAAAAACTGAATTTACTTCTTCCTTCAATTATTTTCCTTCTTTTTTTTTTTTTTAAAACGAAAAGCAACAAACTTTCAGCTTCCGATCCAATCACCTAAAAAAAGACGATATTTCAGCACATTTGGTAATTACAGTTCCTTTTATCTTTGTTTTTCATTTTCTTTTATGTTCATTTTTGTTTTCCTTTCTTAAATTTTCGATTATTTCCGATATAATTGTCTATTTATCTATTTGCTATTATTAATCTTTAGGAATGCAACCGATGGGTGAAATTAGGATTTTTTTTTTTGGGGCTTTATCAATCGATGAGCGGGGTTTCTTTATTGAAATGGTTTTAGTTTTTTATTTTAATTTTATCATGATGGTCATTTCTTGAAATCAGGTATTATTGATTAGTTATGCACGTTGTTCTTGATTAGGTTTTAGCTGAATATATTTAATCATAACAAGAAATGATGATAATTGTTTCGATATTAATTTTGTGAGAGAACAATGCTTGAAGTCTCATTTCTTTGATTTTATCTGCTAATCTAGAGCAAAATGGAATTTGCAGCTCTCTAAGTTTGTACGGTTTTTTCCTCTGTGTTCCTTAAATGGGTGCTCCTAAGCAGAAATGGACACCTGAAGAGGAGGCAGCATTAAAAGCTGGAGTCATCAAACATGGGCCTGGAAAATGGCGAACAATATTGAAAGATCCTGAATTCAGTGGTGTCTTGTATCTGCGTTCCAACGTAGATCTCAAGGTTTATTCCTTTGCCCTCTTGTGTAAAATGGTTATGATATATAGCCCCTGTTTTAATCCTTGTTGCGATTAAATGCACTTATGGGGTTGTATTGGCCAATACATGTTTTTGTATCCTGGGACAGGATAAATGGAGAAATATGAGTGTGATGGCAAATGGATGGGGTTCTCGAGACAAGGCTAGGTTAGCTGTAAAGAGGACATCTAGCATTCCTAAACAGGAGGAAAGTGCTATGGCCCATAGTGTTGTGCCAAGTGATGAAGAAATTGTGGATGTTAAGCCCGTATCAGTTTCCAGCACTTCAGTGCAGATTCCAACTTCGACAAAGAGATCCATTGTCAGGTTAGACATTGTTCTCATTTTTGCTTGATGGGTTTTCGTCTTGTATTATTTCACTTCTGACCATGTTATTTCTTTTCATTGATATAGGTTAGATAACCTTATTATGGAAGCGATTACAAGCTTGAAGGAGCCTGGTGGTTCAAATAAGACAAATATTACTGCATATATAGAGGTAGTTTTTATATGGGGCATTCATAGTTTATAATTCAAATTTCTTTTGCTATTCCTAAGAAAATATTGCATTAGTGATCTATAATAAACAGAGGAAAAAGGAGTAAATCAGATTTATAGATTTAGGAACTTTAACATGGCACATGAGTGGCTGATATCTATCAAGTGATTTATAATAGTTTGGGGGTTGTTGGAGGCCTTTTTAATTTCTTCTTTAATTGCTATTGCTGTTCTTGGCCAAGAATGGAAAAGAATAGATCAAAAGAGCTGTGGGAAAAGATTTGTGTCAACCAAATGTTGCTTTGTATATGTTATATTTACAATTTGAATTGAAATTACTGACTCATTAACTATGCATGACAGTCTGCTTTCCCCTTTTCTTTGTTTAGGGCACTGCTAACCTTATTTATTTTCACCATGAAACCCTTCCATTCTGCATGACACCAGGAATTTTATGACACTTGACATGCCAAGATCATAATTTCATCAATTTAATTTGCTTACTTGGACTTATAATGATATGATGTTCCATCTCATAATGTGGTAATAACAGCACCCACTTTGTTTAGTACATCAGGAAAATGGAAATAAATATTTTTTCTATCATTTGTTTGTCTCCCTGTTGTGGCTTTAGCATTGCGTTGTTCTGGAATATGTGCTTATTTAGAGTTTGTTGGCATTCTTTACTTAATTTTCTTCCTTATTCTGTAGGAGCAATATTGGGCACCTCCTGACTTTAAGAGGCTGTTGTCAGCAAAGTTAAAGTATTTAACAGCATGCGGTAGACTGATTAAGGTAATTTAATATGCTGCATGGAAACATATTCGATGCTACATTATTCTAAGTCATGAAGTTTGTTGTCTGAGAAATTAGTAGATATATCTGGTTTCATGAAATTATTTACTTGCCTGTATTTTGGTGCCAGTGGTTATATTCTGTTTTATAATTTTTGGAAACAGTTTGGGATTTTGGAAAAGTTGTTATAAATAATTAAAGGGTTGCAAATGATCATACTTTTAAGTACCGTTATGCTTTAAAAATATTCCTGGAACAAGTTCAGTGATTAATGTTAATTGAGAAGTATTACAGTGAATAAGTTGATTGCACTCCACTCTCTCTATCATACACACACACACACACTCACAGTCACACACAAATGCGCACACACGCAACAATTTGATTAAATAATCTGGGAAGAATTCTTTTCTATGCTTCTTGGTTGTGAATACCAACTTACCAAGCCTGGTCTAGTTTTTTACCAGTTTCTAGAACATTGTATGTCTGGTTAACTAATGGGTGGTTTTTCCTGATATATGGTTTGATTTAATCCCATGGTTTAACTTTCAGGTCAAACGCAGGTATAGGATTGTCCCTGCTATGTCATTTTCAGACAGGAGAAGGAATCATTCCTTGCTATTTTCACAGGGAAGGCAAAGGGTTTCTCCTCGATTTGATAGGGATAATTTCAATATCCTCACAAAGTCTCAAATCGATTTAGAGTTAGACAGGATGAGGACTATGACTCCACAAGAGGCTGCTGCAGCTGCTGCTCGAGCAGTTGCAGAAGCAGAAGCTGCAATAGAAGAAGCTGAAGAAGCAGCAAGAGAGGCAGAGGTTGCAGAAGCTGATGCAGAGGCAGCACAAGCTTTTGCAGAAGCAGCAATGAAGACTTTAAAAGGAAGAAATAATCAGAAAGTGGTAAATGACTGCAAATTTGTGGTCACTATTTATTTTGTACATGCCCACATACAGAGATAAAAAGAGTTGAGTTTAGAAGACTTTAGGGTTGGGACATTCACAGATATCTGATGGATGGATATTAATTGTATGTGAGAGTAATAGGGTGGTTGCAAGTTGATTTCTCTTTAATTCCGCACCCACACACACCAATGTGGATTTTATACTTAACAAACCTGTTTCCAGGTTATCTGGGATAGGTATTGATTACCCAGCCCCTTAAACTTTGTTGATTTCTACTCATTTAGCTTTTGACTTCATATGATATTGTTTGCGTTTACACAGATGGTTCGAGCTTGATTTGATAAAATGAGCAACAAGGTGTTATGAAGCATGACATTTTTGTAGCAGGCACTGAGTTATCATCCCTATTTGTAAATATGGTGAAGGCCTTTTTGGGTGCATACATATATGATTCGTCCTTGCCAGCAGATCCTCTTGGAATGGTAGATTCTGTTAACAGCCATTCTTGCTGCTGGTTTCAAATGCAGTGATTCTTCCTCTTTTTGTTTTTTGTTCTCTTCTATGGGGAATATTCTGGATTGTAGTTAATATTTATTCATTTCCAAAACATCCGCACTAGGGATGCTGGAAAACATAGAAATTAGAATGTATAGAGGGATAGCGACAGTTTGTCTCCATCTGGGATATATTTTTTTGTAGTTTTCTGTGTTCTATGCATTTTCCTACTTTTTTGGGTAGAAATGAATCCATTTTAAATGGTTTGTTCTGGATCTTCTGGTTATGGTTTGGGGGAACTGTTGCAGGTTAGTATTGAATGCTGTGCTAGTTTCTTCATGTAATTATACTGAAAATTGGAATGGATTTTAAAGCAATGTTGTTTTTGGACCAACAGGTTGAACTCGAACACGTATAATTGAAGCATCATTTATCGTGGGGCTTCAAGATAGAAAGTTAAAATACATTTACAGTTGTTCCGAAGTGTTAATTAGACCGAGTGTATCTATCTACTCTACAATTCTCCTTCTTCCGGATTCAAAAGGAAGGGCGTGGGATGGGATTCGATACTTGTTAGTACTATGATTTACAAGTGAAAAAGGACCCAATCCATGATTTTCATTCCTGAATTTGTACCAATGGGCAACAGCAGTCACTGGTACTACTAGTATTTAATTGCGATTTATAATCCCTGTTTTAACATTTGACATCGGTCGCGAAATCCAGCCTTGTAATGGCCGGAACCGACCTCGATCTTACCGGATTTGGCCAAAAGAATCCCTCTTCCTTCCTACCAAAATAATTTTACTCTTCATTTTCCCTCTTTCTCACGTAATTCGGTTTTTCCTAAGAAAAGCAACAATTTTCCATTTCCCAATAAATCAGAGGTAAATGGAGACGATTTTAAACGACAACGAATCCTTGCTTGCTCGGATCCAACACTTGGAACATGGTTCGCTTTCGCTTAAATTTCACCTTTGTCTCCGAAAAGGGTTTTTTTCCCAAATAAAATTAGAAATAAAAAATTATTTTGATTTGTAGAGCGTTAAGGATTGCGTAAAGACATTGAACAATTGTGTATGCTATCTTGTTCGAATGCATTTTCAAACGTATAATTCTTTTCCATATCCCATTTTTTAAAAATTAATGCCCTGCTAGGACAGCTGGATTGGAGCAGGAGATTGAGAACTTGAAAAAGAAATTAGCTGCTTGCAACCGGAGGAGCTTTCCGAAGCTTATCCAATTAAAGTAAACCTTCGTTTTTTTTTCGTTTTATTTTTTTGTTTAACCCTTTTACAAGCTTATATGATTGTTCTGTTGTTTGCAGACTCAATGGTAGACCTACATCGTACTGAGGCTGCAATGGTATCTTCCTAGTTTCTCTCTTGGCGTGCACACACACTCATCCGTGGAATTTTGGTCAAATTAGAAACGTTCTTTAACAAACTGAATGAAGTCGTTTCATGTGTTGAATCAAATATAGATTTGGAATTTTCTTTTGTGTAACCCTTTGTTTTTGGCTTGTTTATCCAGAATGTGGAACCTGAGAAGCGGGTTAAGCTTTTCCAAGGCTGTGTGGCGGCTGCTTTTGCTGAACAGAGTCATTTGATAATGGAGATTATTCCCATAATTCATTTAAGACTGGCCTCTTGTTATACTTGTATCTTGTATTATAAGTGTTTTATGCATGTACATGTAATATAAGGTTCCAAGATTACACATGGCTGGCAACAGGTTGAGAAGGCTAAGGAAAAGGAGGAGCTGATGGCTCAGAAATTTAATGAGTTTCAGGCAAGGTAATTTTTTATCTTTCTAGGAATCATTCATTTTTGGTTTGGGGAGGATTTGCTGCCACAATCTTTGCTTTCGGTTTCATTGATAATGGTGGTCTTTGTTTATCTCTGTTCTCCTGGTTTCTTGCATTCTGTGCATCTATGCTTCGATCGATATTTGTGTTGCTTAAGGTGACAAAATTGTGTAAATGACTAACTAGAATGTGAAACACCTATCACAGGAAAGCAATGAGATGAAACAAGGGAATGTTTTGGCTGAAGTTGCAGACATAAAAATTGTTACTTATGAAAGAGATGGAAGACTAAGAAATCTACTAAAGAAAACATATCCGAGACGTTAGATGCTAGGGGGAATGAAGCTGAAGCTCAGCCAAACAGCATGGATTTTCTAGTTGTCCAGAAATACTGTCCATATTTTTAATTGCATGGCATGTAATACCTGACTGTAGAGAGATGGTTGTTATGCATGCAAAGTGATGTCTGGAAAACGCAGCGCTGCAGCCAGCAACGAGGGAAGAAAAGCAAAATTTGTGCATCATGGGGAGAATGCCAACATTAATCTTTTTATTATAGTTACTATAATGTAAAAGGGTGTCCTCAACAGGTAAAAAGGAGAGCGGTATCTGCTCATGCTACACATCTGTGTAAGCTAATCTGTCGCTTCCATAATGTACAGTTGCTCTTGCTCAGAAGCTGAATTTACAAATGCCATTGGAATTTACTTTGGAAAAACCAAGGTCGAAATCTGTGTCCATAAATGTGATATCCCATCTAATTAAGAAATATTACTATAAGATTTTCTTTTTGAAGTATCATTAGATAGGATTAATGTTAATATCAACGTAGTACAAAACTGTGAACATGTTGTCAGACCTCATGTTACTTCAATTATTTCAGTTAAAATACTTTATCAGCCATTATAGTTGCTTTTATGACTGTAGAAACAGCCTTGTATTATTTTGATTTTTGACAGGTTAACGATGGCACTGCCATCAGTGACATATCGGGGGTTTAATCAAGGTAATTGATTTTCATTTTTGCAGGTTATTGGAATGATTCAAAACCAGCAAAGGAAAACCTGCAAATAAAATTCCATTATTCAAGCCACAGAAAATCTTTTTAAACTTTCTTAAACAAATGCTGAAACAATGACTGTTCTTATTTTCAAAAGCTCACTTCACTGCAGTTAGAAAAATTAACCCAATGGCACATTATTAAATCTCATCTTTACACACAGAAATGACATGGATGGTTCAGCAGCAAATTTCCATGGACGTAAGTTTCTCAGTCATGGGATTATTTTTCTCGCTGTCAGTCTCAAGCTGGCTGTAGTTTCCTTTCTCCTTGACGAGTTGGATGTGGTGATGTTTGCAGTAGAGTTTTCCTTCATGTGCAATGTAGTTTGATGGACTAATGGTGCAACCTCCATGGGTGCACTTGAAGCATCTCTTGTGGTATGCTGTCCCATTAACCGTAACCTTGAAGTACAATATGAAATCATAGTCAATGATACACATATTGGCATATATATTTCACAATCCAAAATTTATGGGTTAATTTTACCTTCTCAATTGGATAGACAGTCTTATTACAGCCCACACATTTTTCTCTGGTGCCACCGAACAAGTTCACCACTTTCTGTGCATTCTGTTGGATCCAATCCAATACCAATCAACGGCAAGAAAAATTCTGAAACCTTGGTACAGATATTGCTATTTGATAATTTGGTGGCAAATATGTAGTTTCCAGGAATTACCTCATTTTCTATGTGTTTTTCAGGCTTGACAATCTTTGGAGTTCCTGGAAGAATATTGAAAAAGAAATTAGAGCAGACCATTAATAGACTGATAAATAGTAAATAATTATAAATGGTGGTTAAAGAAATTCACAATTTTTATTTTTTTTTTACCTTCAAAACTCTTGTCTAGACTGCCAGTTCTCTTGAATTGTTGATCATAGTGAGGCCTGCAGTACAGCACCCCCTCAAAAGAGTTGAAGTTGCCAAGCTGCAAACGATTATTAAAAAAGAATGTATCCTCAAAAATAAGGCATAGATGAGAAATTTCCATTTTGATCTTACAATACTAAACCTTTGCATTATCATCTTCTAATACTCTGTAAATTTTCCTTTTTCCCTTGTAAAAACAATGTTTCTTAGTCTTCATTACAAATCTAAAAGAATTTCTTGATAGTTTTCCCTTAAAATTCTTAAGAGACCAACAAAAAGACGTGGTGATAGACATGCACAGTAAAGCATTAATGAAAATCCATGGTCTTCAAGATCATGAACAGAAAAATGCAAACCCAGGTACATATATATATATTTATATTTATATATTGAAAGAAGAATAAGAAGAAGAATATACATTCATCTTGCCATACTAGCAATGCAACTTAAATGTTACCTTCAGAGTACCATTGCAATGGTGGCATCGAAAGCAGGCCTTGTGGTAAACCCGGTTATCAGCCGTCAGCTTATCAACCAAGTAGACAGTCTTGTCGCATGCCATGCATTTTTGCTGAGTCCCTGCAAAGGATGCCATTTTTGCTTCCAATTCTATATGTACTTCAACTGATCACTAACCTTTGGGAAGATCAAAGAGGCAGATGACAAGAGAGCAACCTTACTATGATTTTTGTTTATTTTCTTTTTATTTTCTTGTTTCTGCCTTCCTTTCTCTTCTGTTCTTCAATTTGATTCTCTCCTTATGGTTTATTTAATAGGCAAAGTGGTAACTAAAAAGGGAGAAACAAATGTGGGCTGCAGTGAATTGCGGGCAAACACATCAAAGCAGATTTATAGATGATTGATAGGAATGACCTGGTCACTTTTGCTATCATTTTGTCCGCTATTAAGCAATTCCTTACCACTCAATCCTTTAACATTTTCTTTACATTTCAATCTGTCATTTCATTTTCTTTTTCCCAAGAATATTGACCCACTATAAGAAAAAAATTCCCTTATCTCTTGTCTTATTTAAGAAAAAAAAAACTGAAATTGAGTTGGACAATGACGGTGATGAGAGTAAGATAATTTTTACTAACTAAAATTGTTCAAAGCTTATCTTCAGTGTATATTTACAGATAAAATTAGAATAATGTATAGGTCATAGATGTTATTGAAATTGCAAAGATTCAGTTGTAGAGGTTTTTTACTTTTTTTTTTTCTATTCAAGGACTCAAGAGGGTTTAACTTTTAGTAGTTAGTTTCATTTTTTAAGGATCAAATCTAAACCAAAGATGCCAAATTGGATTCCCCCAAAAGTGAAATTTTGGTCAAGATCATAAGTGCCAATGAAGTTGCATGTTGAAGTAATCAAATCGATTAAAGTGAAAGTGAAAGTGAAAAAGAGAGTTGGAAACTTATGTTGACATCGTTAGGTAGATCAACAAGGCAGTTTGCTTTCTTTTTTTCTAACCTTTTCCGTTTTGCTCAAAGGGGGTGGACCTAAGGTTTCTAAGTACAAGAATTTAATCATGAAAGGGCCAGCTGGATTCCCTGTTGGTTTCTTTTTAATTTCTTTCGTTTCTCACAGGGTGTTGATGAATAGGATCAGGCATCACATCATATCATGATCCAGGAAGTGATCTATTAGATAGATATAATCTTTTTCATTTTTTGTTTTCCAATAATGGATTATCTCAGTGATTAAGGTTTAAATTCTAACTACAAAACATCTA